TGATGTTTTAAGGGTATGAGACCTAGGAAAGTTAGATAAATCTCTTCCCCATAATTTAGACTCCCATCATGATTAACCATTTCTTATGGTTTTGTAAAGCCTTAAGTCTTATTAAGGTGAAGTAATTGAATGAGTGTATGAATTACTTTGAGTAGGAATATAATTGGTAGAACAAAATGCCATGTTTAAGAAAGAAAAAAGTTAATCCAAATTTCTATATGAGAGTAATTGTTGAAGTTTCTAAGTATAGGTAACAAAATAAGACAAATTTTATCTATGATTCCTATTATTTTACTGCACTTAATATCATAATGAGTTAATACACCGATGTTGGCGGGGTGTTAGATGGTTAAATTTAATTTTATCATAATGAGTTAATATCATCTCGTGTAATATGTTTAAATTTAATTTTATCAATTGTTTTACTCTTTTGTGCAATGGCGGACCCCGATTGTTTCACTTGTGTGCACTTGCAGACACAAAATTGGAGATTTTTTTTTTTCACATGGGGTGGGTGATTTAGGATTTTAGAAGTAAAAAAGAAAAAGAAAAAAAAGAAATAGAAAGATTGAAAGGAAAAAGGTAAAGATAGGCCCAACCCAACCAACCCCTACAATTAAAAGCTTAAAGCTTAAACCCTAGCCATTGCTTTGTCTCTTTTTTTTTTTTTTTTTTTTTTAAATATAAACCTTATTAGCTCAAAATCTTAATAGACATCTAACGATTCTTGAAATTCAATCTTCGTCAAGTGAAAGAGAATTGCACGGAATTTTTTACGTTTTCTTGTGAAACAAAAGTGGCCAACTTTGGATCAAATAGACATCGACAAAGGTGAGTTTTTGATCGATTAACTCCTACAATTATACTATATTTTACAAATGTCTTTTGTGGTGTTTATTTATTTTTAATTATCATTATCGATTATTTCCTTAAAACTTTGGTTGATTCACCAAAGTTTTACTTTTGAAGTAGAAGTAAAAATTGGATCATGATCATGATCTTTAAAAAATAAATTCGGGGGCGCGAACCCTCGTTCTAAGTGTGCAAACATAAATAAAATTTCCTGAGTCCGCTGCTTTTGTGTACTCTTAAAATATCTCAAACCCCAAGGGCGTCATTTAGCGGTGGATGAGTATATAATGTGTGGATGTTATACGATCACATACATAAATCCTAATTATGCAGTAACATGCTCCAAGAATTGAATCCCTTATTTCGGAAATAGAAAATTTATCTTTGGTGGAACTAAAAAGATAAATTAGTAGAGGTAAATTATACCTTCTTTGTAGCTATTGTTGATTGGTAATACTTATGAAGAACAATAAATATTAATTGAATTTTTATTTTTTTTCTAAGTGTTAAAAATAACGATTTCAAATAAATTATATAGACTTATTAGAAATGTGGGCACTAGTTTTTCTGTGATTTGGCAGTTACCCCTACATTCAAAACTGTCTGAGATAGGTCAAAGTTGACAAAATTTAAATTGTGTTATAATATTGAAAGTAATATGGTACATAATCCCCACTATATTGTATATCTCAACCTATTCTTTTTGGTTTGAGAAACCCCGCCGCTTGGGGAAAGAGATTTATACACTTGTTGATTCAGTGACAATTAAAGAGCCAAAGCTATTTGTCAACAAAAAAAGAAAAAAGAGAAAAAAAGAGCCAAATCTATTTTCTTGATTTGTATGATCCGTGTAAGTATGGTGTATCCAATTTTTATGCCTAACAATGCCTACTCTATTCCTCCTTGTATGGTCCGTATTACCAAATATTATCACCATACTTTATTGTTAGGAAACATATTCTAAGAAAAGCAAATAGTATTTTTTTAAATTATTAGTCTAACTCGAAAAAATCTAACTTTTTATCTATGAAACACCGACACTTCAAAAACCCTGACGTGTCGTGTCCGACACTTTCCGACACTCTCGGACATTCCGACACTCCCCGACACTCCAACACGTGTTATAGAAATTCAAAAAAAGGTTCAAAGGTTAAGTTGCGTTGAGTTTTGAGTTCCAATTATTAGATTTGTTAGATTACGATTACCATTTTATTAAGTTTAATATAAATATTTGGGATATCTTGTGTTTCTTTGCAAAATTTATGAATATTATAAGTTTAGATTCATTTTTTTGTTAAGTTATTGAATATTAAATATAATACATACTACATAATTAAAAATATTATTTAATATCAAAACGTGTCCTAACGTGTCGAAATATAATATTTTTTAGAATTAACGTGTCGGAGTGTCGTGTCATATCGTGTCACGTGTCCGTATCGGTGCTACACAGCTATTTGTAAACTAATTGAATTAATAACTTTTAACGATACACGCGATTGTTATATAAGTAATGTATATGCTTATTAAATAATTATAATAAATATAAAATGTTTTTATATCAAAATTTAGTTTCATATACACACGTAGTGTCCGTGTGTGTAAAAATTATAAAATATTAACATTATTTGTTTTTAGAATGTCATCTCTAACAATAATATATAATAAATATCAAAAACTATAATCTAATATCATTGAATCATAAATATAAAAAACAATTAGACTAAATCTAAACTTATTTATGAACTATTTACTATAATTACAGCGTAATAAATATTTTCCAGAGAATATTTAAAAATATAAAAATTTAAATTAAAAAGGTATTTTCCTTTATACTATTTATTATATGAAGATTAATATATGAAGCTTAAATTCAGTAGTCAATTTCGAGTAAGATGTTGGAAATTCAACCAAAAATATATATATCATATTTGTTAGAAATAAGCTAAGTGAGAATTATATAAATGGAAGGATATATGATTTTTTTTTCAATGTCTTACATCATCGGAAATTCTATAGAATATCACATAAAAGTTTAAAGAGTCGAAACTTGTGTAGATACCGGGAGAGCTAATTTGTCTCAAAAAGATAATTGAATTGAGTTAACTCAAAAAGAAAAGGAAGGTATTTTTATTCACATAGAGACCATTATATATAGCTACATAAATACAAAATTAATAAACAACTAAGCAACTAACATATAAGAAAAAAAAACAGAAGTTGTTTATTTTCATCAAAAAAAAAAAAAAACAGAAGTTGTTTATGTAATTCAATTTATAACTTATCCTTATCCTTAATATACAGCTTTTGATAGAGACATAAACATAATACATATCCTTCTTATTGTGCTGAATTATTACTTAGCACTGAACTCCCTCAACTGCATAACACAACATTGACCTAAATAACAAAAGAAAAAAAATCTAAATTATAAAACAACACTTATAGCTAGAAACCTTAAAAATTTTGATCGAAAATGTATATGAAAATAAATTCACTCAATATCAATAATATTAAAAGAAGATATTTAAAGTGTTTTATACCTATATCATTCTCTCTCTCTCTCTCTTTTTTTTTTTGGTGAGGACACCTATATCATTCCATTTGGGTTCCATTTTACATACTACGGCAAACCTCATCTAACTCTGAATGCAGTCATCTTCCTTGTTCAATTGAAAGCAGGCTTGACTGTATAAACCAAAAGCACATCATCATGAACACTTTGAAAATCAAAAGGTTATAGTCAAACATTCAATAGTTATTAACGAAATAATGAAAATAATTTATAATAAAATTAAATAATTTTGGTTTTATATCTTTTATAAATAATTTTAGAAAAATAAACTTTAATTATATAATAGGTAATTACTAAATATCTTCAACTTATTAATTATAATGATATCCAACTGATCTTTTCATGTACTATGAATTTCATTAATCAAAATTAGAAAACATTGAATCAACAAAAATATGGCTGAATTATATATTCTGTGCATAAATATTTTTGCGCTTGTTATTTTCACAAATAATTATATATTTATTTTAATATAGAATATCGTACAATTTCCTTTGATTTTATTTGCTTGACCTCAATCATGGATTGTGTGTTGCAATTTTATTACATTCTTTGAAAAAGTATTTCATTTTAATTTTTTTTTTGTAAAACTTAATTTTTAAATTTTAAATGATTTGTTGATTTTTCAATTAACCATTGCATGGGTTCAATTATTTGTTTAAAACAAAACGGAAAAGATGAAAAGACAATAACCAAAATTATATATTTTGGGCATAAATAAATTTTTCAAATTTTCCCACAAGTATATTTTTATTTTAAAGTAGGATTGTCTTAGAATTTTATTTGATTTCATTTAATTGATTTGATCATTGTTTTATGTTGAATTTTTATTTGATTTTTTGATTTTAATTGATTGAGTTTATTTTTTTAATTCTAATTGATTTTAACTAATCATTGCATTGAGTCCATATATGGTTAATGTATTTGCTTAAATGAATGAGGATAAAAGAAAACACTATACCATATTTATCGTTAACCTATATGTTTAGGACACAAATTATTCTTGCACATATTTAGCCGAATAATTATATATTTATTTTAATGTAGCCTGTCTTATAATTTTCTTTAATGTTTTTTTATTGACTTCCCAGTTAATTATGTCATAGTTTTATTTGATTATTTATTTTTAATTATATTGGATTAAATTTAATTAATCCATGCAGCCGGTGGAAGGAAAAAGCATATAAGAATTAACTTATTAATATAATTTATTTCCTAGGAAACTAATTACTATGATATTGACAGGTGATCACAAGGATTTCGAAAGTAAAAATTTCATTTTATAAATTATATTAAAGGAAAAAGTTATATTTAATTTTTTTTTGTTTACAAACTCTTATAAACTACACTAGGTCCTAGGGGTAGTATATTTCAGTACATAGTGTACTACCCCTATTACAGAACATAGTTTGTAAAAGAAAAAGTTTATAAAAAAAAAAGTTTGTAAATATAACATTCTCTTATATTAAATATTTAAAATTCATGTAACTTGCTATAAATGCACACTTATATAAATGGTTTCCTTAGCAGTTTTGGTATTCAGCAAAACTTAGCTTTCCCAATAATCATTACGATGAGAGAGTCTAAAGTGTTCGAAATTAGGTTTCAGTTCTTTTTGGCAATAGCATTTTGCTTGTTTGTGATTGGGGCTGCTAATAATCCAGCAGATGATGATGGACGGAAACCATGGCAAAATGATAATGTCTCACCACCACCTCCTCCTACTCATAGGCCACCTATTATAGACAAATCCCCACCACCTCCACAACCTCATTCACCACCATCTCCGCCACATCTACCTCCTACTTTTCATTCACCACCACCTCCGCCACCTCATTCACAAAACCCCCAACCTCCACCACCCCTCTCTTTTATACCACCTTCACCTTTATCTTCATATGCAAATACTCCAAAAACACCACCTCCATATTATTCTCCACCTAATACTCCAACACCATTGCCTCATTACCCTTTCAAACCATCACCAACCATAGCACCTATGCGTCCAAATCCACAAGAAATGCCCCCATCTCCTGCAATACAACCTCCATTGTCACCTTCACCTTTATCTCCATATGCAAATACTCCAAAAACATCTCCTCCACATAGTACTCCTACATTGTCCCCTCAATACCCTACAAGGCCACCACCTCCTTCATCAACCATAGCACCTATGCGTCCAAATCCACCGCTAATGCCCCCATCTCCTGCAATACAACCTCCGTTGTCACCTTCACCTTTATCTCCATATACAAATACTCCAAAAATATCTCCTCCACATAATACCCCTACATTGTCCCCTCAATACCCTACCAAGCCATCACCTCCTTCATCAACCATAGCACCTACGCGTCCAAATCCACCGCTAATGCCTCCATCTCCTGCAATACAACCTCCATTGGCACCTTCATCTTTATCTCCATATGCAAATACTCCAAAATCATCTCCTCCATATAATACTCCTACATTGTCCCCTCAATACCCTACCAAGCCATCACCTCCTTCATCAACCATAGCACCTATGCGTCCAAATCCACCACTAATGCCCCCATCTCTTGCAATACAACCTCCGTTGTCACCTTCATCTTTATCTCCATATGCAAATAATCCAAAAATATCTCCTCCACATAATACTCCTACATTGTCCCCTCAATACCCTACCAAGCCATCACCTCCTTCATCAACCATAGCACCTATGCGTCCAAATCCACCACTAATGCCCCCATCTCCTGCAATACAACGTCCATTGTCACCTTCACCTTTATCTCCATATGCAAATACTCCAAAGACATCTCCTCCACATAATACTCCTACATTGTCCCCTCAATACCCTACCAAGCCATCACCTCCTTCATCAACCATAGCACCTATGCGTCCAAATCCACCAATAATGCCCCCATCTCCTGCAATACAACCTCCATTGGCACCTTCACCTTTATCTCCATATGCAAATACTCCAAAGACATCTCCTCCACATAGTACTCCTACATTGTCCCCTCAATACCCTACCAAGCCATCACCTCCTTCATCAACTATCGCACCTATGCGTCCAAATCCACCACTAATGCCCCCATCTTCTGCAATACAACTTCCATTGTCACCTTCACCTTTATCTCCATATGCAAATACTCCAAAAACATCTCCTCCACATAGTACTCCTACATTGTCCCCTCAATACCCTACAAGGCCACCACCTCCTTCATCAACCATAGCACCTATGCGTCCAAATCCACCGCTAATGCCCCCATCTCCTGCAATACAACCTCCGTTGTCACTTTCACCTTTATCTCCATATGCAAATACTCCAAAAACATCTCCTCCACATAATACTCCTACATTGTCCCCTCAATACCCTACCAAGCCATCACCTCCTTCATCAACCATAGCACCTATGCGTCCAAATCCACCACTAATGCCCCCATCTCCTGCAATACAACCTCCATTGGCACCTTCACCTTTATCTCCATATGCAAATACTCCAAAGACATCTCCTCCACATAATACTCCTACATTGTCCCCTCAATACCCTACCAAGCCATCACCTCCTTCATCAACTATAGCACCTATGCGTCCAAATCCACCACTAATGCCCCCATCTCCTGCAATACAATCTCCCTTGTCACCTTCACCATTATCTCCATATGCAAATACTCCAAAAACATCTCCTCCACATAGTACTCCTACATTGTCCCCTCAATACCCTACAAGGCCACCACCTCCTTCATCAACCATAGCACCTATGCGTCCAAATCCACCACTAATGCCCCCATCTCCTGCAATACAACCTCCGTTGTCACCTTCACCTTTATCTCCATATGCAAATACTCCAAAAACATCTCCTCCGCATAATACTCCTACATTGTCCCCTCAATACCCTACCAAGCCATCACCTCCTTCATCAACCATAGCACCTATGCGTCCAAATCCACCACTAATGCCCCCATCTCCTGCAATACAACCTCCGTTGTCACCTTCACCTTTATCTCCATATGCAAATAATCCAAAAACATCTCCTCCGCATAGTACTCCTACATTGTCCCCTCAATACCCTACCAAGCCATCACCTCCGTCATCAACCATAGCACCTATGCGTCCAAATCCACCATTAATGCCCCCATCTCCTGCAATACAACCTCCATTGTCACCTTCACCTTTATCTCCATATGCAAATTCTCCAAAATCATCTCCTCCACATAGTACTCCTACATTGTCCCCTCAATACCCTACCAAGCCATCACCTCCTTCGTCAACCATAGCACCTATGCGTCCAAATCCACCACTAATGTCCCCATCTCCTGCAATACAACGTCCGTTGTCACCTTCACCTTTATCTCCATATGCAAATACTCCAAAAACATCTCTACCTTATTCTTCAAATACACCTCCTTCGTATTCTGCTCCACCTTACATAAATAAATCGCCAAATTCTCCCACGGGGCATTCCCCTCCGCCTCCGTATACAAGAAGCTCCTCACCTCCTCCCCCTTCCTCAACTCATTCCCCACCTCCTCCTCCCTACTTAACCTATTCCCCTCCTCCTCCTTCGCAGTCTCCACCATCCCAACTATGTTATATGCTTTTCGGCATAAAAATATGTTTGTAATTCGTCAATGATTTCTTCCCTTAACGCTCTTGTTCTCAATTATCCTCTATGTTTAAACAATTTACCATTTCTTTCATAACCTTCACCACCTTTTATTCTTGATTCTACAGTTCTCCATCTTTGTTGTACACGTCACCATGATCTCCTGATACCTATAAAATTATCTCCTCGTGCATGTTATCAACTCGACCACTTACATTTTTATTTTGTTCACTTACCTATTCATGGTTTCTGTTGTTGCTTTCATGTTAATGTTTTCTTGTTGTAATTCTGGTGTCGAGTACTATGAATAAAAGTCAAACAGCCAATTTTATGGTTGTTTATGTTTACATGAAAATAATGAATTACTAATTAATTGACAATTGAAACAAATGATCCAATATTTTATGTTTTTGTTTTGCTGGCTATAACCAATTATTAAATTCGAGAAATTCAATCTTGTAATGAATCACGAAATAGTTTTTCATATATGTGTCTTTTCAGAGTGAGTTAAAGTTGTAATTAAGTTATATTTTTTTGTGAAATTGACATTTTTATAATTTTAATTCTAATTGATAATTAAATCATATGACGTCTTGAGATTTCTAATGATTGCACATGTACTTCAAATGAAATTTTAGGCTGTGATACATGAGATTTCTGACGGGGTTAGAACTTAGAACCCATTGATTATTATATAGTAATAAATTTTAGTATTTAAACCATTATTTTTAGCAACAATAGTATTAAAACATTTGCAATTTTATTTGATATGAAGGCTTTTATATCAAAATTACAAATGTTTAATAACCAATTATGATTAGAGAAGAAAAAAATAATGTTGAAAAGTAAATAAATAAATGGTTCATTTTTTCTGCAGTTACTGTAGATAACTTATCTGCAGTAAGCCTAATACGACGTCGTTTTGGGGCGAAGATTATGATATTTTTGTAATTTTAATTTATTTTAGGGTTATTATAGTCTTTATAATTATAATTTTTTTAATATTGCAATCCCAAAACGACGTCATTTTGAGAATAAATGCAGATAACTTATCGCAGTAACTGCATAAATATTTTTCTGATAAATAAATGACATAACACATCAAACTTTTTTTATTTGTAAGTTGTTTAACAAGAATTCATTTGAGTGATTTCAGTGTCATTAAAAATTTGTCAATTCAAACAAAAAGAAAATTCTTAATCTTTACACGCACACATAATGGCAAAAAAAAATTAAATATTACTTTTTTTAATAATTAATTACAAATACACAGCTGTCTACAACTAAATACAAATGTTTAGGGTTTATCTAAGATCACCCAACAATACATTTTGGATAATAATTTTTATTTAATGTGTAAATCCAACTAAAATTATTTGAGTGTTTTAGCCAACAACAAAGTAAATACCTATTTAACTTTTAAATGAATGTAAAGTACAAAGCTTTGCCTTATATTCAATAACTTTAATGAATATCTTTCATGTTGCCTTGAAGTCAATATTATAGACTTATATGGCCTAATATATTGGTTATATCTCAAGCCAACTTACTTCAGCGGAATGTCATATAGGAGAAATGTAAACTGTGTGCTTTGAGTTGACTAAGTTCTAGCATGGCTGAGTTAACTTTATGCTTCATTATTCCCAAACTTTATATTTATACGTGCCAACTAGGGAAACATAATGCTACCAAAAAAAAAAAAACTGATAGTCTCATTTAATAACTTAAATTTTTGGGTTAAAAAGATTCTTTATATAATATTATAGCCAACGTAACTTAGAGATCATGAGTTCGATTCTCATCGTCTTCATTCTATTAATAAAACTAATTAAAGATAGTAGAGTTTCTTAGCAGAAGTAGACTGATCCATCATCCACCCTTCAAGTCTAATGAGCTCTCGTGTGAGGGGACGTGTTAGAGAAATAAAAAACTATTTACATAGGCTCATCCAACAGCTTAAGCTTTTAGATTTGTCAAAATAATGGTGCCATCTTATAAATATTTCTGCATATTTATTCTTCCTCTACTGATGAGGACTCTAGGTCCATTACAAATTAGCTATCAATCAACGATGAATAAGGAAATGAAATAACTTGTTACTATTTCTATTTAATACAAATCTCCTATGATTATGCCAATCAACTGCAAATAAGAAAATTAATCTATTTAATTCAAATCTCCTATGATTATGTAACTGTGTAATCAATAATTAAAATTTCAACAATTGTACAGCTCAACAAATATTTTCTCATTTCAACTCTCCCCTTCAAATTGGTGCATAGATATCAATCATATTCCCAACTTGCTAATTACTTCTTCAAACACTTTTCCTGATACAACCTTTGTCAAGATGTTGGCTAACTGATATTCAGATTTGATGTAAGGAAATTGAATAATTTTTTGATCTAGTTTTTCCTTGATAAAGTGCCTATCCACTTCTACATGCTTGGTTCTATCATGTTGAATTGGATTATGGGCAATTTCAATAGCAGCTTTATTATCACAATGTAACTCTATAGGCTGATTGTAGCAGATTCCTAAGTCTTGTAGGATGCTCTTAATCCACAACAATCCACACACTCCATGTGCCATTCCTCTAAACTCTGCTTCTGCACTTGATCTAGCCACAACTTTTCGTTTCTTACTCTTCCAAGTAACTAGATTGCCTTCAACAAAAGTAAAATATCCCGAAGTTGACTGTCTGGTAGTTTTATCTCTAGCCCAATCTGAATCTGTGTAGCCTTTAATTCCGGGACTATTGTTTCCTGAGAAAAGCAGACCTTTCCCTAGACACTCTTTTAATTACCTCAATATTCAATTCATAGCAGCCATGTGATCCTCACTTGGGTCGTGCATAAATTTGCTCACAACACTAACTGCATAAGCAATGTCTGGCCTAGTATGTGATAAATAAATTAGCATCCCTACTAGCCTTTGATATCTGCCAACATCAGTCTGTACTTGATCAGAATATAAGCCCACTACATGATTCATTTCGATTGGTGTTTCTACTGGTTTATATGCTGTCATTCCTGTTTCTGCAAGTAGATCTAAGATGTACTTTTTTGTGACAAAAAATCCCTTGATTCGATCTAGCAATTTTAATTCCAAGAAAATATTTTAATGATCCTAGATCTTTCATTTCAAACTTATTTGCTAAATATTTTTCCAATAACTCCATTTCAAATAAATCATCGCCAATCAAAATCATATCATCAACATACACTATTAACACTGTTATCTTTCCTCCATTGTGTTTTGTGAATAGGGTGCGGTCTGCATTACTTTGTTTTTATCCAAACTTCTTCATGACTAGAGAGAACCTACCAAACCAAGCTCTAGGTGATTGCTTGAGGTCGTATAGTGCTTTTTTTTTAATCTACACACTTTATTTCCCTTCAAGTTGGCATGTTTGGCGCCTGGTGAAATTTTCATATATACTTCTTCTTCTAAGTCTACATTCTAAAAATGCATTTTCACATCAAATTGCTTGAGTGGCCAGTCCCTGTTAGCTGCTATAGAAATCAGAATACGAATTGTGTTCAGTTTTGCTACTGGTGCAAATGTATCTTGGTAATCAACCCCGTATTTTTATGCATATCCCTTAGCAACTAATCTGGCTTTATATCTGTCAAGGCTGCCATCTGCTTTAAGCTTCACAGTAAACACCCATTTGCATCCAATTGGTTTCTTCATGGTTGGTAAAGGAACATGTCCTACATTGAGTTTTTTGTAAGGCCTTCATTTCTACATTCATGGCTTCCTTCCAATTTGGATAATCCAAGGCATCTTGCACATTGTTAGGAACAAATATACTAGACAATTGATTAATAGATGCAATATATGATTCTGACAACCAATGATTGGTCATGTAGTTACCGATAGGGTATTTGACCTTTTAGTTTGGATCTGGTTCATATAGTTATTTTGGTACACCTTTATTTGGTCTTTGTGACACTCTAACAGGTAAGATGAGACCATCTATGATAGTAATAGAAGGTCCATTTGAAGAAATAGGAGTATGATTAGTGTTTACCTCAGGTATAGATTCAGGAACATCCAGGGACGATGCCTTAGTTATAGGTGTTAGACGTATAGCAAAATCATTCGTGGGAGGGGTAATATCCGGTTCAGGAGTATGTTGAAGAGTTGTAGGACAGTGAAGAGGAGGAGAAACAATTTGAGTTTGATTATTGAGCCAAAATATGTGGACATTTCTTCTCCAGTAGTAGGTATCTCCCCCTGAGAAGAAGTAACATAATCTCCCCCTGAATAATTTGATTCCAATTCTCGAAAAGACACGTCCATGGTGACATGCATTTTGTGGAGAATGGGATCATAACACCTGTAACCTTTTTGTACATCAGAGTAACCCACAAATACACATTTTTTAGCACAAGGATCCAATTTATTTCGTAATACCTTGAGGATATGGACATACACAGTGCACCCAAAAACACGAGGATCAAGGTTGGGAATGTGAGGAATGGAGAAATAACATTCCAGTGTCTGTTGTGGAGTTTTAAAGTGAAGGGCGTTGGATGAAGTACAGTTGATGAGGTAGGAAGCAGAAACAAAAGCTTCTCCCTAATAGGTTTTAGGCAAATTCATACCAAAAAGGGAGGCACGAACCACTTCTAGTAGTTGTCTATTTTTTCGTTCAGCGAGGTGTTGCGAACACGGCAAGTATACCGGTCATACAAGTAATAAAGTGATTAAGTAAAAGTATCGTTCCCACGAGGACTAAATTCAAGCAATAGTTTTGTCATTTTTATCTAAGTTAGACAATTCAAAATTAATTTCGCTGGTAACCAATATTTAATTAAAAATTAAATAAAGATGATAGTAGAAGAAGTTAATTAAAAAGCTAATTTGAAATAAAAATTGAGTTTTAAAATTAAGAATAAAAATGCAGTTAGGGTATACTTCACCTCCGATCCCCTTTGAGTAGTTTAAATTAATTTCAATAATAATTTATCCCAATTGTTTCAAACAATTCATCTTCTAATTACTAATTGGTTAAATCCCTAATGTCTTAGTTATTTAACCCTTTAACTCAATTAGAATCCTAATATCTTAGAAACTCTTTTCAGATTAAGCATTAAGCACGATGAATTATGAAAGTTTGCAATTCCTACAAGGCTATGTCTAGATCATGCAAGAACTGGTATTTACCCCTGTCAGGATTAAAATTCCAATATGTCTATTGTGAACCTTATAACCTTCAAATCCCTATATGAGTGATCAAGTCATACAAGAATGCATAAAAATAATTCTGAGGTAAACACAAACAACTTGAGACAATTTATTAAAGAAACAATTTAAACCACAAAAGAATTCACGTTGGATCCATATCCCTAACTACTAAGAAAATTAGCCAGACATATTCATGTCTAACTTTAACAAAATATGAAAAGAAAATTAAATTAAATTCCTGGATGAAGAATGATGAATCTCCACGTTTCCGCTTCGATCCTCCTTAAGTTCTTAAACGCCTCTAGCCTCTGAATCCTAGTCTCTGTGCGCACCTTACTTGGTCTTTGCTTCACGCTTCAATCTCTCTAATCGAATAATTTTTCCAGCCTTCGAGTTCCCTTTTTATAACAAAAGAAGAACATCTTTTATTTCCTTTTTTAAAAATCCTTTATCAGATTTGGTGTGATTTCTTTCAACATAATCTCAACTTGAAAGACATATTCAAATCTCCAAAGAAATCTTCAATCAAATCTTTAATTTAAATCTTTAAAACGATTTGAAGATATCGAGTAACGCTGGAAATCTTGGCGCAATTTGTGCCACAATTATAGAGAGATTGGTGCAATTTGCACCACTTTACAGAAAGTTCAGATGCTTGGCACAACTTGCGCCATGATGTGAGAGAAGTTGGCACAATTTACGCCAACTTAAAATTACGCTGCACATTGCTTTTTGGCTGTTCTTTTTCTCTTCAATCTTAATATTCTTTAATAACAAAAAATCCCTACAAAACACAATAATTTCATAAAAGTATTCCTGAAAATAATTCAATAAATAAATTATAATTTTCATGTGTTTTGTCTGAATTTAGATTAATTAATTGCTCAATTTGGTCCTTAATACATAGTGAATTAAGGACTTATCAAACAATTCCCAGATTTGGACATTGTTGTCCTCAACAATAAACAAGAATAAAACAATATGAATAAGTAAAGAAACTTTGTAAGAGGAAACACATGAAATTCAAGCATAACATTGCATTAAATAAATAATTAGGTGCAATTGCTCAGAAGAATATTATGCTAAGCATGAATGATTTCCAGTGTTAAGAACTTCAAACAATAATTTCAGTTTTCAATAGGAATAAAATTTAACTTGAGTACCCCTCACTAGGATAAATAAAACTCTTCTCACTCAAGTGTTTGGGGTGAAATCATTCAATCCGCCAATGTAATAGCACTTTTATAGGCTTGATCCTATATTCAAGTTCCTAACAGTGAGAAACACAGACAACATGCATATAGTGATCAAAAGGTCTTTTCAGGGTTATAATGTGACCCTGGTATGGGGGTAGGAATATTTGGGAAGTAGCTAAATTTTTAGTATGAGATTGAAGCACAATAATCCAATGTAAATTTATTCAATTCACGTTTTTCTTTTCACTACTTTTTTCTATGGCCTAATTTTCTTTTTTCCGACACCTTTTATTTTCTTAATCGCTGTCTTTTTCATCACTTAACAAAAATATTTCTTTTTCTTTTTCTATTTTTCTATTTTTTTAACAAATATAACTACTGCAGCTTTATTTAATATTTTCTTCCTTACTTTGAGTATTCTTCCCCTCTTCTTATCACTTAACATTATTCCTAATAACTTCACCTGAATATTTGATAAGTCTTTCTATCTCATTCAAAGGTGGGATAATTAAGGACAGAGGTTAAATAACAGTATAGGTAAATAAAAGAAAAATAAGTCTCAGGCTCAAAGGGCTAATGGAAGCAAAATTTTTAAGTGGTCTATTTTTGCCAGTGGTTATACAGAATAAAGTGCCTTTATCATCTCAATATATGCATGCATTAAGAGAGAAACAGAGCAAGTTCTAGAGTACTACTACAATGAGGTCTTTCAAAAAAAATTATACTGTTTAGGCTCAAACCTCACATGTTGTGGTACCAAGCTAGAATACTATTCATATTTTTCAATCAGAATATTATCCAAAAGTCATCAAAAGGAAAATCATTCAAACGAGCAGTCATATTCTCCTAGATGAAGTTCAATGCAATGTCATGATAGAAAATTTCATGGTGAACCATCACAGTGTTACTTGTGCTTCCTAAAGTCTATTCAGGTTTATTAATCAATTTAGCACATGCTAATTCAGAGATATCATTCAGAGACTAGTAGAATAATAAAAGAAAACTAAAAAAATAATCAAAAAGATTGAGATATCTCCCCTGAATTATCATTGCATTCCTGTTAAGTGTGTCTATTCCTCAGGCAAAGCATGCTATACAACTAATACCAATTCCCAGATTTAGAATCTTGTTGTCCTCAGCAATAACTCTAAACTAGATGTGAAGCAATTCTGCGTATTCAAAATACACACATAGATCAAAACATAATAACATGATAATATCAACAAGAAGTACCAAAATGTGAGTTATATCTCAATATAGTACCAAATGAAATAAAAGAAACTAAAAGTCTAGAAAAGAAGTAAAAACAAAAGAGATGGAAAAGAGATGGTGGTGAAACAAGTAGGTGCTCAGTCATGGTTCAGCTAATCATCATCTGAAATGTCCTCTGATGTTGTATGATCGGCTGCCACTGTTGCATTTGGTACAATTGGTGGTTCTGGTCCCCATCCAGTAAAGTCAATGCTTAATTTTTCACACACAGCCTCAAGTAACCTTGTATTATACTGTATCTGTCTCTACAAATCCAAAATAATTGGTGAATCTGTTAGAAATGGAGTAGCAGATTGTCCCTGTGAAGTGGAGGGAATATCAACTGAATGTGCTGGTGGCTGATGTAAGGGATCTTTCAAACGTGTCAGTTCCTCTGATTTTTTTATACAAGATAAGAAATTTTCCCACCCAAGTTCATTTTCTAACTCATCATCTTGTATATCTGTTTGTGTGAGCCTAACACCTGCTTGTATGCAAAGTTGCAGAATGAGTGAACTGTGACTCAATTTCCCTTATGGCCTTGCATTAGTGAAGTTCTGGAGAATCCAATCAGAGAGGATATCAGCAATATTGAGATTGTTTTGACTAAGGAGTACACATATCAGTGTTGCTCGCTCAATGTTGACATCAGTGTGATTGGTGGAAGGAAAGATGTTGCTATTAATGAATTGATGCCAAAAACGTGCAACTGCATTCAGGTCGGCTCTGTTCAACTTATCATAATAGAAGGTTTACTTGACTTGAAGCTCCAATTGGAATGTGGGATTGTAACACTTAATCTTACAGTGTTTGCTGCTGCAGAAATGTTATTACTATACAATGTCTTGGATTTGTTTAAAGGTTCAAAGTACTTGAAAAGCTTCTGAAAGGAACATTCCTGATTAGGATTGTAGCTAGTTCCCAATAAGCTCTCTATGGTGCTTGCATCAAAACAGACTAAAACTCCTCTTACCCAAGACATCCTTCTCTTAGCTACCTCTTCCTTGTTGGCATTAGAATAAAATTCTTTTAAAATAGAGCTATATCTGACAGATGGAAAGGTAACTAGTTGCTCCCACTTCCTTTTTTTAATCACTTCTAATATTGGTGACTGTTCTGGCTGATTAAGGTCAATTTTTCTCTCATTGATGAGGAATCTGGGTAGAAACCAAGTTTGATACCTCTCTTGACAATCTATGGATAAGAACATGTCCTTATCAAAGGTGGATTGTGCATCTATAGTTTTAGTTGCTCTATTTTTCTTATTCCGTGAGACTTTATTGGCAGGTTGTGTCTCCTTGGAAGCTGCTTCTTTGGGCCTTTTGTTCTTGGAGATATTACTGATTGTTGCAGCTAGGGGTGTTAACGGGCCGAGCCGAGCCGAGCCGAGCTTTGATCTTAACGGGCCAAGCCTGTATTTAAACGTGTCTGACTAGCCTTAGCCTGTTACCTGTTACGAATATAATATTGGCCTGTGGCCTGGTTTATTTACAAAAAATAAAAGCCTGTGTGAAGCCTGTCTTAGCCTGTTAGCACGTTAAAGAATAAAAATAAGAGAACAGAATTCCACAAAAAATCAATTTCCAAATAGAAACCTTAGCTTCCAATTTACAGCAATAATTTACAAAGTCTACAATAAATAAAAAAAATTAAAGTGAGAGAAGGTAGATAACAGGTTATATTATCTTAGCCCGTTATAAAAAAAGTGCCAACAAAAATAAAATTAAAATAAATAAAATAAAAAATAAATTGACACAAACGAGCAGTGCACAGTGGAACCAATGAGTTTTTGTGGGTTTGTTTGTGTGAAGGAGGATGAAGGATAATATAGAACAACACTAGTAATTCCATAAATATACATAAATTCAATATATATCCAAATAGCATAATATAGAACAAAATCATTCAAAAAGTCTGTTAAACCAATAAAATGGGGTGAAATAAATTGATGAGAGAGAGTTATTACAAGTAGTATAAAAAGTATAAATAAATATTTATATACTAAGCTAGCCTGGGAGGCTCTAAGGCCGAGCTTCTGAATTAGAGCCTGAGGCCTTTTTATTAAACGAGCTTTTATACAAGTCCAAGCCTGGTTCCAACACGAGCTTTGATTAAACGAGCTCAAGCCTTTACGAGCCGAGCCAAAGGCCCCTGGCTCGTTTACCATCCCTAGTTGCAGCTCTCTATCTACAGCTACCTTTGGCCTCTTGTGCTTTTTAATGGTACCTTGAAAATCAGAAAAGTCCCAATGGCATATAAAATTCAGCATATTATTATCACATGCACACATACCAATTCCCAGATTTATTGTGGACAATAAATCATAGCAATCATATCAGTCTTCGTGGAAAGATATCATATTTTCCAGATGATCATATAAGGCCTTCATCTAAATACCTTAACCAACAACCAAAGAATAATAAGAACTTCAATTCACTAACAATTCCCAGATTTATTTCTGAACTTATCTCACAATATTCTAGCAAGTGTCTCACAATTAATACTCACATAAGAGTTCCATAATTATCAGATAGTCATAATTAAAATTTCAACTACATGCTTATGTATCTATGTAACAACGTCTAACAGAATAAATATCCATTATTATGAATGATATGTCTCCAGCATATATATGATTTTAAGCCAAAAAGATAAAGAATCTTGATCAATCTTGGATAAAAAGGGCTAGAATTGTTATTAAATTGATAAATCCTAATCAGATATCTTGTCACTGATTTTCTTATATTTTTGTAGGAAAAAGTACAAGAAAGGAGCCCAATTGAGCAGCACTGAAAAACACAAGATTTGATCCACCAAGCTAGTAGCGCGAAGATACTGAATCTAAATAAAAATCCCACGCTATCAGCGCGAGATCCGCGCTAGTTTTAAATCTTATATCAGAAAGTATCTAGAGGAGATTGAAATCAAGAGATATGATCAAGATTTGAATCAGAGGGAAAATCTTTAAATTATCTTAGATTATATCAGAGAAGATTGGACCAAGATACAAGCTGTAGATTTAAATCAAGATTTATAAGCAAGGCACAAAGTCTATAAATAAAGGCTTAGACTCTCAGAAAAAAACATCTTTGGCTGGAGAGAATTGTGAGGTTCAGAGAATTGAGAGAATTCTTGGAAGCTCACGCTGGAGATCAGGATTCCACCGGAGTTGAAGGCTGAAGACATTGAGTTTTTATTCTTTTTCTTCTTTTCTTCTTTATAGTTTATGAACAATTTTTCTTTTAATTTGTATAAGTCAGACATGAATATGTCTGGCTAATTTCGTTTTGTAGTTGTGATCACGGACCCAATGTGAATCCATTATATTTTTCTATATTGTTTTTATAATTTAATTAGTTAGTTTGTTTTATTCTACCTGTGTTAATTTTTTCATATCCTGTTTAGAATTGGCCACTCTAAATTATAGGGCTTTGAGGGTTAGAATTCACAATAGACATATTGGGGTTTTAATCTGGACAAGGGTAGAATAACAATTTGTGTATGATCTAGACATAGGCTTACATAAATTGCAGACTCATAATTCATTTGCTTAATGCTTAATTCAAGAGGAATTATTAAGACATTAGAATTCTGATTGGGTTAAAGGGTTGAAATCACTAAGACATTAGGGTTCAACTATTTTATAGAGAAATAATGAATTGTCTGAACAAACGAATTAATTAATTATAAAATACAATATAGGAATATAAGGGAGGATCGGAGGTGAAGTGTATCCTGGCTACATCATTTTTATAAATTTTTTCATCAATATTTTCTTACGTTCTTGATCTTTTCTTGAATGCGTTCAAAATTAATTGTTATTACTTTTCTGTTTTAAATTTAATTGTTTTTAAATTCTGTTTTGAATTCCAAAATCAATTACTTTCACAACTCAAACCAATTTTATTTTCCAACTTAAGGGGAATAGTTAAACTAGTACTTGGTGCATTAATCCTCGTGGGAACAATACTCTACTTATCACTTTATTACTTGAAATGAACGGTATAATTGCCGATTTCGCAACAATGAACAAATAAATTGTGCAGTGTGCAATACTCACTGATATCCATTTAATATCCAATCATACATGTGTCCAATATATGTTATCCAAAGGAAAAACACAAAGTGTTAGGTAGCAACATGCACTATTAGACATAACACAACCATCCACAGCTAGAACATGACATACTCATCGAATTTCAACAGATAATCTGTTAAAAATCAATCATTCTCATTCGATGTCAGTATGCAACCTTTATGGTCAAAAAAATAGTATCAAATAACTCACTAGCAATCAAACAATGCAGTAAAAAAATAGTATCAAATTACCAGTGAAATCTAAAAATCTAAGCTCAACTATAATCAAAGTTGAAAGTTAGATCTAAGAGTTCAAGACAAATTCTCACAAACAAAATTCTGCAATTTATACAATTAACATGAGAAGGAAAGTGGTACCTTGATTTTACCCATGTAACCAAAATACGCACAAGTTAAATGCAGAAAATTATGATGCAAAAATCAAAACCACGATGGGGAGTCGGTGATGGCATAGACCGAGGAGGAAGAATGGTGGAGCTTGGCCGTAGAACTGGTGGAGCGGTGATGAACGGCGATGGGTATGGCTGTGTGTGTGGATCGGTTGGAAGTGAAGTCCGATAGAGGCTAGGTTGGGGTTATGGTAGTTCGGTGAAGTGGGCGAAGGGGAAGAACGGTGGAGCTGTGGAGGTTGATCGGTGGCTATGGTGGTCTGGTTAGAGCTTGGTGGTTGGAATCGGTGAGGAAGGTGACTACGGATTCTTCTTCGGTTGTGGATGGTTCTTGGTGAGAGGTGATTGTTTTGGTAAGCTGTGGGTGGTGATGCCCCACGGTGGTTGTTTGCAGAGAAGACGAGGACTATGGGTTGATAATGGTGGTTATTTGGTGGAGCTGTGAAACGAAAAAAAAATGGGTGGTGGGGGGTTTGTGGGTCCGATGGTGAATTTTGGAAGAAGATGGATTTTTGGTGGCTGTGTTGGGTATGGGGGTTTGGTCGGTGGTAGATTTGGATGAAAATGGAGCAAAGGTTTTTGGTTCTCGGTGGCTTGTGGATAAGTGTGTTGATCGGAGAGGAAGAAGATGGTGGACCGGCGGTGCTGTGGATCTTCGAAGATGGTGTGCGGTGGTGTGTTTGGTGAAGGTGTCTGTGGAGACCTGGGCTGAGATCTGTCTTGGACGATGGAGGCTAGCGGAAGGAATTTTGGTGATGGTAACAAAGATTGGAGAAGGGTTTGGTGGAGAGTGTGAGGGATTGGGCGGTGGCTGGTGGCTTCGTTTCCACGATGGTGTGGGGCTATGGAAGATAGGAGGAGAAGGTAAAGGTTAGGAATGTGGACTGGGTTGTGTGGTGTGGAGAGAAGATGGTTGGTGGTGTGAGGTAGTGGAAAGTGAAATAGAAGAGGGGTTATGGGTCTACGGTGGGCTTGTGGAAGTGGGTATTGGCTGAAGAAAGATTTTCTAAAAAAAATCTATTTTTTTTTAATCAACGGTGGTGCAAATTTCCAGCTACTCAACTTGTGTGCGCAAATTGCGTGAACTTACAGGAACTTCCATTAAGTGGCGCAAAATACGCAAAAATCGCGCTCGAGGCGCGAACGCTGTTTGCTTTCTTCGCGCAAAAGGGGCGCTTTTTGCGCAAAGTTACAGAAAATTGGAATTGTTGGTGCTTGTGGCTATACTTTGGTGCTCCTTGTGCCACCGTTAATTTTCTCACTATTTTTCCTCTGACTTTCCTTTGACTGAGTCCATCTCAAATTAAAATTCTACACCAAAATATTCCATCTCTTAGTCAAAAATAATTTTTTTTAAACCTTTTTTCAAATAAATAAATAAAATAACAAAAACAATAAAA